TGCTGCCCGAACACCAAATTATACACTTTTTTTTTAGAGACCTTCAGACTTGACTAAAATTGTCCAAATCAGTTTTGTAGTGTTTATATAGCTGTTGTGGAGGATATCATGAAGCTTTGTTCCGATAAAAAAAAAACTAGAGCGTAGTTATTATATAATTTGAACTTGAAACGGGTCACGGGAGACCCGAACACAACAAAAGGGTTAAATCAATGCAGTTAGAAGAGTTAATATTTTGGAAAACATTTGTAGTTAGTTGGATAAGAACATGAATACCACCCTCATGTTTGCACAATAAATATAAATCCGCCAGTTAGCTTAGCTTAGCACAAAGACTGTCAACAGGGGGAAACAGCTAACCTGGCTCTGTTCAAAGTGTATTTCCCAAAATTGCAGACTGACTAAAACATTTACATATCCTAAACATATACGTTTTATTCAAAGCACGAATTGGTTGGAAAAATGCATCCACAAATGTAAAGTATGCATATAAGATAAAATAAGAAGATATCTTTTGATCCGCATATGGGAAATTCAAGTGTCTTAGCATAAACAGCAACAAGGGGGAAAAGCACAATATTGGACAGCCTTTTAATTCACACAAGGATATTAATGTGAATAGTAATAGAAGTAAATAAATGTAGTAATAAGTGTAAAAACAATTACAGTATAACTTAAAATTAAGGTGTTTACATATATACAGACATGTTTAATTATGGGTGTGTTCAATATATATACATTTCAATTTGGATGTGTGAGTCCAGGTAGTTAAATTATGGTACACACACAGTGCAGGTTGTCAAGAGTTCATGGATTTCAATGATGGGGTCAAGCCATTATTGTGGAAAAGATTTTTGAAAAAAATGTATGCTGTGTGTGATTAAGAGCTAAAACGTCTCAAATCACTGGTTGTCTCTTTAAATGTTCACCCTCACCAAATCCTGGCATCACATCACCCCGGTCCTCAAAGAACTCCACTGGCTTCCCGTTTCACACCGCATCCACTACAAACTCCTGGTCCTCACTTACAAAGCCCCCTACCATCTGGCCCCCCCCTACCTCACTGACCTCCTCATCCTCTACCAACCCCCCCGGTCCCTCAGATCCACCTCAGCCGGTTTGCTTTCCAACCCCAAGGCCAAACTCCGGAGCTTTGGGGACAGAGCCTTCTCTGTGGCAGCCCCTAAGCGATAGAACTCCCTCCCCCAAGACCTCCGTGACTCTGAGTCCCTCACCCTGTTCCAGTCCCGCCTCAAGACTCATCTCTTCAACTCTGTATATCCATAAGCCCCGCCCCCCCCTCAATCAACTTCCTCCTGACTGCCCTTTCTGTTTATCATATTTTATTTGTTTTATTTTATTTATTTATTATTTGTTTTGTTTGTTTTTGCCTGTCCTTGTCTGTCTACCCTCCCCCCGACTGTAAAGCATCTTTGAGTTAGAGAAAAGTGCTATAGAAATATAATTTATATTATCAAATCAGGTTTTATTTATAAAGCACATTTTAAAACTATTTTTGGTCGAGACCAAAGTGCTGTACATGCAAATAATAAATAACGCATTACTACATTCGCAAAGAACAGAAGACAATAAATTACCACAACAAATATAAAAATCCAACTCAGGGAATTGTCCGTAGTCATACTCTGCTCGGACTAGAATGCCAGGGAGAAGAAGTGAGTCTTTAGTTTTGTTTTAAAAACCCCTAGAGTCTGGGCCGATAATTTATATTATTAAATGGTTACCTTCTCAAAACAAAGGCAGTTGTGTCTTTGAAATTATCTTTCTCAAGTGCAAACATCTCTTTCCAAAGGGGATTAAACTCTAATTTGGGAAATGTCCTTTGTCTTTGAAGCACCTGAAAGAAAACAAAACAGATCAAGTTGGATGTTTGACAGTTGGAATAGAAAGCTGGAAGAAAATGCAATTTCATAGATTATTAACTCCCAACTGCTGAATTTGTTTCTATATTAGCGTGCTGGAACAGATGACTCCACCCTGACGAGGATTATGGTGTCGAGGAGCGAGATAGACATGTTGGACATCCGAACCTGCTTCAAAAAGAAATATGGAGCGTCTCTTTACACCACCATCCAGGTACTGAAGTTATTATCTACCTTTTTAGGGTTTCTAACACGTTCTAAAAGCTCCAAACCTTCAGAAGAAAGTAAATATATTTCTCCAAGACGTCCACTCTCTTCATAGTTTCCCCCTGATGCTTTAAAATAGCCCATCTCTCCCTCTGCATGATTTAAAACAGCAGCTGGATGAACTACCGTTCTGCTGCTAATACACCATTCATGTCAGTGCAGTGATGGAGTAAAGATTAGTCATTTACTTTAAATGCCTTGTGCAGCGTGATGAGACTGAGATGAGATGCTATTCACAAGAGCTGAAGAGAAATTAATCAATTCTCCCGGGGCCAGATGTTCCTGCAGTGAAGAATGATTTCCATCCTCCGGTAGCAGCAGCAAAGACTACAAAAATAATGTCCATTTTATTATAGCAATTATTACTTCAAGTATTCCTTTCATTTTTCACAAGTAGTCATATTTGATAGAGGTATTACTCCCAATGATTTCATTTCTTATGATTTGCGTCTAATCTCACTGCTTATATTTTAAAATGTCATTCGCAGGTGTAACTAATGACTGTGGCTGCTCTACAATTATAATTCACAACCATGGTGCAGTGCATGATGGTTTTCTGCAATTGCACGCTGGCTCCTTGAAATGAGTCATTATTAATGTATTAGTTTCACCTGGGCTTTTCATTCTGTGATGAGGTACCATATTAACACACATCCTATTTGTTAAAAGCTTTCACATAAACTAACTATGCTGAGTGCCTGGAAAAAGAAAACGTATGTAAGCCAAAGTCTGTCGTTTGATGTAATTGAACCCTCATTCATAATGGATTTATGGGCTTTTTTTAAATCAATGCTGCTACTAATACTATACATTCAACATGAAATGAGTGCAGAATAACACAAACATGTCTGCGTTTCACCAATTCCTGCTTCCTTACTCGCCACCCACTTGACTGCCAGCTTCTTCCAGATACAGCAAGCATAGAGAAAGAAACCAACCATTCATAATTATGTCAAATAATTCATAACAATATTACCAGCTGTTGAGTGGGAAAACCAGGCCCCGTCACATCATGTAGGGTTTGTGGGAGAGACACTCTGAGATTTTAACCTTTTTCAGACCATTTACATCAGGGGTGTCATCGCGGGCCACATTAGCATTATGGTTGCACTCAAAGGGCCGGTTGTAACTATATAAATATATGTATAAAATAATGTATTATGTTACATTATTGCCTCTGAATTGGATTATTATCGGATAGGGTAATAACTATCTACGTTTGAAAGCAGAAGTCCAGGGCAAATAATTGCAAGTCCCTTCAGTGCGCATGTCACAAAACGAGATGCATTGTGGGACATGTAGTTTATGGGCAACCTGCTTCTGTAAAGTGACATGTAAACGTATTATATTCTTTGCAAGCTCTTGCGGGCCACATAAAATGAAGTCATATGCAGGATTTGGCCCCCGGGCCTTGAGTTTGACACCCCTGATTACATGCACACAAATCCACTACCTTACAGGGAGGGGAACATCTCAAAAGGTATAATATGGTCCCTTTAAGTAAATCAGACATTTGTAATCGATTGACCGAATTTTAGAAGAACCTAGGTTTGGTTTCTGAATCTGGTTAAACATGAACTTCTTAATGAGCTAGTTGGCTACATATTAGCATTTACTGAGCCTGCGTGGAGAGCGGTGTTGAAGGGCGAGGGTTTCAGAGATGTGTGACAAAAACATTAATTATTTATATTCATTTGTCAGACACATTTGTGAAAAGCTACAATGACAATTTGAGAAATGTGAGATTCAGTGTCTCAGTCAAGGACACTTTGACATGTGGGGAGGAGGAGCAGACGATCCAAACACCTGTGACACAAACGCCCACACAGACAGAAAGGGACGTGGCATGGAGGTGTCATTGAAAAAATACCTAAAGGGCATTTAAACAAAAGTGAGCAAAAGGATTTACTAATACTAAGAAATACTTTATTTATTCATGATTTTTGAAACTGTAACATGTTCAAAATGCATTGCACAAGAGTCAAAAAATAAAATGTATGAAAAAAATAACAAACAGTAAATGCATCAACAGTAGAACAATTACATCTATAGAATAAACCCAATTAGTGAGAATAAACTGTAATAGACCAACATATTACTCTTTATTAGGATACTACATTATTATATCTTAAACAAGGACCACGCACAACACTGCTTTAATCTCAAACAGAGAAAGATGCTATCATGCCAGATTACAGCTAAAAGTTCATTTCCTTCTGCAGTCCCTGAAATTGCACCTATATAGTTTACATGCATTACACAGGCGCCAAAAGCTCAAATTAGATGGAAACGAACAGTTGATATATTGATCCTGAGTTGATTTACCAAGTTGAGAGGAACCTTCAGAATGTCATTACATGCATAGTAATCAGAGGTGGTAAGTAGTGGAGTACAAATACTTAATTACTGTACTTAAGTAAATGTTTCTGGTATCAGTACTTTACTCCACTACTTATCTTTCTGACGACTTTTTACTTTTACTTATATTTTTAACACAAATACCTATACTTTCTACTTCAAAACAGGTTAGTTACTTTAGTGTGAATGTGTGTTTGGTGGCGTGATCGTTATTATTTAGTCATTGCGTACCTATTGATTTGAATACGATCCGTGTATCCATCATTTCCTGTGGCCTCATTTATAAAGGGATGTACGCAAAAAAAATGGCGTACGCCAGGTTCTACGCAATGTTTGCGGTTTATAAAATACTAACTTGACGGGAAAATGTGCGGTCCTCTACGCAAACTCTAACCCATGCGTACGCACTAAGCACAAAAACGGGAGAGACGAGAAACTGCGACACCGTTGGCAGAAGGAAGAATGGAGAGAAATATGTGGACATAATGCCATAAATCAAATGTTACCTCCTTTATCATATATGAAGAATTCATTTTCAAACATTGATTAAAGCCAATCTTAAAATGATTTAACAAACGCCTGTTTGAGACTCCACACTGCACACAAAAACATAACTTGGAGAAAGAAATAAATACGGATATGTTATTTAAAACCACCTCGAATATGTTGTGTTAATGTTATGAAATGTTTTCTCATAAATGATGCGGGAAGCAGGAGGACAGAATTACGTCTAAACTGATGCCGTTTTGCATTTCTATAGGTTGGAT